CTAGGCCCAATAGAGTCTCACTGCCTTCATGAAAGCTTCAGAGGTGGCCAAAGCCACATCACATCACCTTGATAATACATGCTGAAGGAAAAAAATTTGGCTAGGCCAGTTGGAAAGTCAGAGTCTTCCAGATCACATCAAGCCCAACAATACTACTGTCGCAGAGGGGGTGCTACAAGCAGGAGGCCCAACAAGTACATCTCACAAGACAGAAAGAACACAGAACAAAGTCATAAGCACAGGAATGGTTGTCAGAGTCTACTCTAATCTACCACCTCTCTCTTCCAGAAGCTCAACCGCGATCTGAAACATCAGAAAAAGAATGAGTATTAGTACTCACCATCAAAGCACAGGACAACCAGCGTCTGGTTAAGTTAAGCAATAAGCAACAAATCACCAAGCCTTCAATAATGCGCTTGGACTAAATTAATAACCATGTAAATTACATTGTTTGGGCTTTCAGTACCCCTAAGAACAAGCATACGCAACCTAGGATCTTAGAGCTGTCAACTATGGAACTTCTTGTAAAGCTAATGAACAAAGATCCTGTTGCTAGTTATGAAGAATGCTTAACCCATGATTCATTCAAACAGAAGTAGGAAGAAACGCTCATTCGTTCCAAATACATATTGGACAGTAATATGTACAACTGGTTGAGGAACCAACACAAAAAATGGTAGCAAATCCTAGCTACATGATTCGGTGATTCCCAAACGACTCACATAAAAGATCTATCTCACATCTACAAGTGTTCCAGCATCGCAGGGGACCATAGAGTTTTCAATTTAAGAACCATAGAGTTTCCAATTTAAGTGTAAATGGTAATGGATGTTGCCATATCAATCCGTATGTTGCCAAAAGCGGCAAGGATGTCTGATCATCCCCAATAACCAACAAGTACATCATGCACAAGCATTGTGAAGTCAGGGTAGCATCAGGATGAATATCACAATTCTTCCACATTTAAATGTAAATGGTCTGTTATTCCTAGAGCATTTATATGGCTGTAATCTACCATTATCTATGTTTTTGTACAACATTTTTTGTTCCCTGGAGAGGCGACGTCGCCTGGTTTTCCTATCCCTCCGATTCACAACCAACGCCCAGCAGAGCACTGCCTCCATGGAACCTTCCACGAAGTGCCAGCCTCATCTACACCCCCCCCCAACCAACCACGCTGCCACGGAAAAAGTGAAAACAGGGCCGCTCCGGATGCACGCAGGCCCCGGCGCCGCGCTGCGCTTCCTCCGCCGCCACAGCAGCCATAGCGCCTCCCTCTGCCTCCGCTCGCCATCGTGTCCGCCCCAGGGCCGTTCCCCGCACTGCCCACCAGAGTGCCTGACCCTGTGCTGAGCCGCCGTCGCGCCTAGCACCAGGCCACCTGCGTGGCCACGGCGCAAGGAAGGCCGCCCGAGCGAGCGCCTCTCCACATGGTGCGGATGACACCGGAGCCCCAATCTGCCATCCACGACGAGGTAACTGCCATTTCCTCTCTATTGCGCTTCAATCTCCTAGCATAGATGGGATGGTGGTGTCTTCAATTGCTTCTCCTTCATCCCTGAGCACCGTGAGCTCCCCCCCCCATCTGTTGTTTCCTTTGCTCTTGGTGTTCTGTGCCCTTCAAGTGACCGACGAAATGCCCAAAAGGGCTCTGCTTGCTAATTTTGCGTCAGTTCGGCGCCTTGCAGTCATCTAACTATTCCTCTATGCTACTTATGTATACCTTAACAGGTGCTACCTTTGCAGCTTCAGTATGCATGTACATAAATATCCATTGGTTTTGCTTTGTGGTGCAGGAAATGCTACCGATCAAAAGCTGAATAATGTTGACATGCAAACTCTGCAGCACGGAAGCAGTTCAGAATGGCCACATATAGGACCAAGCTGTTTCAACATAGAGCACCATCTGTCGACCTAAACTCTGGTAATCATAGCGCGCACTCAAATGACTGACAACAATGAACATATAATTTTGATTTATTTTGGCTATGCATGCTAAGATGGCTAAACTACCATGAACATACTGTGTATAGGCTTCACCATACCATAGCTATACTGATAATATATTGCAAGGTTATCCAGCCAGCTATACAAAATAATGGAATTATAAGTGAGTTCACACCATATTATGTGCACTACTGCCTATTGTTTGTAGATGCTTTTCAGTTATACTGTTTCTTGATGGTCACTAACACATGTTTTTACCATCAACATTCCACCCAAAAGTATGATAAAGTGAGGTAAATCATCATTACATGTGTTGCATTTTGTTTATAATTCACCTAGTTCCACTTGTGCTTGTAGAATTATTTGTATACAGAAAATTATAGCAAAAATGGGCCAAAATGGTGTCAGATATGAACATAGGGAGCAAGTGGCCGTGGCAGTGGGGCTAGGGGCCCACATGCCACGCCGGCCGGCCCCACATGGGCGCCGCCCCGCGCCACCCTGACCCCTGCCACGTCACCGATCCGTGGGAGCTGCTCCAGAAGCATTCTCATGCGTTGATCTAAGTCGGTTTGCACCGATGGACGAGATGGAGTTGCCGTGGATCCACCGGCCCACCGTCATAGACTTGAGAGGCTCCAACCGACCTTGGAACTGCCTTACCGGCCAAAACTTGGCACGTGCTGGCTTCACAACCGCCTTTGGGTGCCAACCAGCACCGTAGGATGCAAAGGCGGTGCATCCTAAGGCCGGCCGACGCCCCTATGCTGCCGTCCGGAGCCCAAGGCACCCCAACCGACCTCCTGGCTGCCTACAAGTACCCCCCATGCCTCTCTACACTATAAATAGAGGGTGTGGTGCTCGGTGGAGAAGTGCCACATTCAATTCCAAGCTCTCCAAGCTCTCTAGCTTAGTAGTAGAAGTAGTTTAGTAGTGGAGTAGAGCAAGAGCAGAGCTTCTCTCAGAGTCCGGAAGAGTCTTCTGGGTCTGGTATAGCTCTTTTGTAATTCTTTCATTTAGCATTTACTTTATTCAGTACTTTATATTCAGTAGTTTATTTAGTATTATTGTTTTGCTTTGCTTAAGCACTTGTTCATTATTGCTCATCATTAGTGAGCTTAGGTGCTTATTGCTCGGCATTAGTAGCATAGGTTATCTTTTAGTTAGTAGTCTTTCGTTAGTACCGGTTCCACCGTCTGGTTAGGATACTTTGATCCCATTTCATCGGAGCTCAGATCAAAGTAGTAAGCCTATAGATTAAGTGATGTGCTTAGGCTATAGATTACATGTGGATACGGTTAGGCCACCGGATAGATTGTGGTAGTTAGCAAGTGGTGACAGCCTCGTCCATCCTCCGTATTCCACCACGTTAGGTCTAGTTATTAAATCGTAGGGCTCGTGGCAGACCTTGTCTATTTAACTCTCCTAGTTGATAGGCGGGCTGTGCCCCAAAGTACTAGCGCATTTCTCCTAGTCATTAGTTTACCCTTTGTTACTGAAAGATATATCGCTCGCTCTCCCACCTAGCTATCTCTAGTGTAGCTTGTCTAGTAGTTAGTTTAGGTAGTTTACACTCAACCACCATTATCGTTTACCTAGGATACACTTAGGCTTTACCTTAGCAATCCTAACTATAAATATAAGTTCTAGCCTTCCGCCTTCCTGTAGGAAAAAATATAAATTCGACACTCGGTACTCACCGAGCGAAGTGCTACACGATAGTTCTGTGCGCTTGCGGAATTCCTCCACTAGTCGTTAAGAAGTATTGATGCTACCCGAACAAACTGTTACTTTTTAGAGTATGAGTGACGTCTTCAATGCTGACAGCGACTTGGCATTTGATTCCTGAACATTTGATGAAACCTAGATGTGTATATGTTAGAACCACTGCAATTCCCATCACGTCAGTATGTCACATGTTATAAACGTTCTCATGATCTCGTCATCTATGAAAGCTAATGATTTCTTGATGCAACAAGCTAATGATTCCCATCCGTGTCAGCAAAGCAAGGCAAAGCACGTCCAGAACCAAACGCGCCCTTAGCTTGAAGCCAGAGTGTTTTCTTTTGTATTCACCACTAACTCGGCATCATTTTACATGTCCTGTAGCAAATTTTTCTTGCTTTTACTAAGCATGGACCTTAACCTGTTTTATACATAATAATAATTTTACATGAGCCTAGCAAAACAAGACCAGTTTCAATGGAATTTCGTAATATTCTTCTCAGGTTATTCTTCCCATTACCAGTCCAAATGTGATCAATAATACCTCACCAATATAATTTTCTTTGTTTCTGCTTACAGGTGATAAGATTCTTTTACCACCTTAAGCTCCACCTTACCTACAAGAAGATTATTTTACAGCCTCAAGTTGTCAACAGTGATGCACCCTAACAAGGATGGATATTGGCAATTCTGAAATTTCGGTAATACCCATGTACCAATGCTGTTTTTAGCACATGGGTACGTCATGCCATACTCAATAAAATTGTAAAATTCAAGCTTTCTGAATGTGGATATCTAAAGGCATCGAGAGTGGTAATCAAGAGCATCTTTCCCGGTTCATACCATCTAATATCTACTCAGAAATTTATTCTGCCCTGACATGAAAAAATAATTGCTTATTCTTTGCTGTGTGCTTTACATTGTTTGTAACCTCTCATGCTACATTTTTATGCTTCCTAGCCTGCACAATTGCGCGGGGTTCCTGCTAGTTAGCATAGATACAGGAAATGTAGCCAATCACAACTTGACTAAAGCAATGCTTTTCTTATATGCAAATCCAATATGAGCAGAAATGTTAGGAATCGCCTAGCTTAAAACTAATGACAAACATTGATGCACTTTTAAATATACAGATAAAAAGATGTCTATATTAACAGAAAACACAAACAAGAATGAGTTCCATATCTAGCAAATTAAAACGGAAAAGGTTCATATAAAAAAATAGCTGCTCAAGATGATGAATATAAAGCCTTTCCTTAGTAAAGATAGTTCAAAAGCCCACTTACTTGTTTACCATCTTACATATTGTAGTGTTGATCAAGCAAAAGTTACGGATGGTTCCCCTGGCCTTTCAGCTTAAGATCTAGCTCTAACTCCTTATGTCTCAGCTCAAGTTCCAAGCGTTTGTTCTCAATCATCATATGATCATTCTCCAATGCCATTTTTTCTATCTCCCTGTCCTTCTTCTTCCTGAACCGCTCCCACTTGAGACGTTGCTTTGTGAGTTCCAGTTCCTTTGCTTCAATCTGCAAGCGACGTTTCTGAATCTCTATGGCTTGTGAAGCCAAGTCCTGTTGCAACAAAACCATGTTGGTTGCATCTGTGAAAGCCTTGTTGATGTCCACTGTGACACCATGGGGATCAGACCTCTCACTGCCTTCATGAGAGCTTGATGTGACCAAAGCCACATCACTGTGGCGCTTCCTTTTGTGCGTTGAGGGCTCCCACATGTTTGTATGCACAGGATGTTGCTCTTCGTCATTCTCCTCATAATCAGAATCCGCACTTTGATCGTCTTCATCAGCATCTCCACTTGGATCCCTCCGAGGATCATGCTCCTCTTTACATCTAAGGGCAAGCAGTAGTGAATGCTGAAGTGCATGATCTTCAGGCAAATTTACACGGTTTGTTGTTGTGATAGGAACACATCTCCTCATAAAATAGGTTCTTTGAGCTAAGTATCTTTTTTGCATCGTCTTTCATCTTATCAGAAAGATGATTCATGCTATCAAGAAGTGATGGATTAGCCACAACATTGCAAGCAGTGCCCCTACCAAGGATGTCTGTCAGCCTTTTGTATCTCTTGTTAAGGTCATTGAACTTGTCCTCGCACTGTTATTGGTGACACATGGCAGCCTCTCTCTCCCATAACCTTCGATATCGCCTTCCATTTGCCCTTCTTCTGCATTATTGTAAAGTTCCTCCTGCCACCACCGGAATCGGCACCATGATCATCTCCAGTGTAAGACACTGCTGTAATCAAAAGTTTTACCATTGAATCTGTCCACTTCATCCGATGCCATGCAGAGCCCTTCTTGCCTTTGCCACTTGGGGTATCAGTAGCATCTTCAGCCACATCATGTTCTTCACCATCACTCTTGAAGTTCTTTGAGTGATGACTATGGTGTTGGTGGTGGTGGTCATCACTCTTTCCATGTTCTTTGAACTGAAATCCAGGAAAGTCATCAGGCTCTGTAGCCCTGGTCATAGACATTGTGAAAGTCCCCGGCATCTGGGAGCTGCTGAAGATCTGTTTTCCAGAGTTTGGAGCATGTTTTTGCATTGAGCTGCCACGTAAGTCTAAAGTATCATAGGGAACCCCTTGCAACATGTTTCCAGGGGGTAGGTCGCTGCCTTCCATTTGCTCAAATGGATCACCCAGATAATTAAAAATATTGTTAATACCATATAAGGGATGCAGGAAGTGCCCCAAAACTTCACATCAATATCGTGGTGTCACCTGAAAAAGCAATTTGGGATGAAATTTTAAAATCCATTTCATGCATATTTCACTTTTTTATAAGTGTGAAACCACACAGCAAAACCAGAGTTCAAATTTTTAGCAGGATCACCTAAGATCAAAGGAAAAATGTGGAATTTGATGACACAATTAAGTATTATATTTCTCTAGAGATAAATTGCTCAGTGGTATACAAATGAAACCATTCAGCCCATCAAATCTTCCTGATGGCATTGATGATATCATAAATTTGTAACCAAATGAGTGCGGCAGCATGAAAAGGAAACATTGCAGGGACTGCAAGAGGACACTGTACAATTCTGAACTGTATACACAGGGCAAACACGGCTCCGCGCCAAATCAGCTGTATTGACTTATATAAGAGAACCATTTGTTCACCTAGTCATCAAAGATGCCATTTTGATATAACACTGAGCCCTTGAGAAGTGAGTAAGTGACTGGCTTCACTATCTGAAAATTTCCACAAAATTAGTGTGGTGATACCTATAGCTAGTGGTAGCAGTCTTTTCGTGCTTCAGCAATGGGTTTGTTGACAACAAACGCCTTCTAAACGGGTAGCCATCTAAAGGTGAACATAAGGAGCTGCTCTTCCCCACACCCAAGACACAGATTCTTTCCGAAAGAGCCATCTGTACCTAATAATGATTTTATTTAGGATAACAATGATGTAGCAAGCATCAAATTCTCATTGGGATAAGAGGATATGCCCAAACAGGGCAAAATTGTAGAGCCAGTACCCCCACCAGGAAACCATTTCTTCGCCTAGCCCCAATAGATCTCATACTAAGCCCTAAATAACTGAGACTTCGCGGAGCTTCAATCAATGGTGAAGAACGAACTCCATCACCCATCGATTCCCCCGACACCTATTATCGACAAGAATCACCCACTATTCCACTAAGGCCTATTCCATCCATGATCTCCCCCCACACCAGGAACAGCACATTGGCCTCGCCGAAACGGCAGCAGAGAAAGAAAAAAAAAAGGACGGCAGCGACACACAGCAGTACAACACACCATGTCCCAAAAAGGAAGCGAGGGGGCAAGCTCACCGTAGCGGCACGGCGAGGAGAAGAGTCCGCGGCGCCTCTGTCCGGTTGCCACTCGCAGGCCACCAGCTACGCACCTCCCTTCGGTCCTTCCCTAGGCAGGGCTGTTCTTGGGGTTGGCAGCCAGAGCCGAGCCGACGAGGACGGAGGCGGACGGACGACTAGAAGTAGACGGAAAACCATTAAACTAGACCGAAAGGCTGGAGCACGAACTGAAAGCGACGCGCCGTGCGTGTCCGGTGACGCCGTCCGGCCGCTCTCTCTGACATGCGGGGCGTGAAACGTGGAGCCCGCGTGTCAGACACGGCGGTGGCTTAAACTGTGGGCGGGTGCGCTGCGCTGTGCGCGTGTGGCGCCCTGGCCCTGGCGCGTGGGTTATTTTAGCGTGGGCCCCCTCTGTTGGCCCACCAAAGTCACCAACCCGCCTCCCACCGTCTCGGGGCGCGGCTGTCTGTTCTAGGCCGAGCCTGACGGAGTTGGCCCGTCATAATTTGGCCCAGAATGAAATTGTAGGCCCAATAGAGCCAACGTCAGTGTCGCGCCTTCAAGATAGTAGTTAGGAGTCCGTCTTTTCGAAAGCAGGACGGAAAGTATGTGGCAGTAAATGAGTCGGTTTTGTTAAGAACTCCTCGATTACAGGATTGACAAGCTCATACCATATATGCTCTGATGGACTCATACTATATATGGCAGGGTGGCTATCATATATGCCTTGAAGGCATCTATATAAATGGACTACATGTATACGTCAAATAACTAACGAAGAGATGGCTCCTCTCATATACCTGTGTCTCATGTGTGTTCTTATATATTGTTCTCGTGGATTGGGAGAGGTAAACATGATCTATCTACAAGTTCTACGCGCCTCTTTCTTAGGATCGGGAACGGGAAAACGGATCTAGCAATTCATGAATAGGCCGATTCTCAACACTATATCAGCAGCTCTTCCAACTAGGTGAGTCGTTCCTCATATGTTTGTCATCAAATCAATCTCTATTTGATGTTGCTAATCATAGATTGTTTTTTTTATATGACTCGACTTCATCTCGATTCTGCAACACACGAGCCGGAGCCATCCATATGCTCATGGCCGTTGTCAGCCACCCCGCCGCCAGGAGCCAGCACGAGCAGCCGTGGATGTGGATTCCATCTGCGGGTGCAACTGTTCCTTGCATCTACGTGACTACACGAGTAATGGTCTCCAGTGCCGCCGTCCCAGGATTGGGCACCGCATGCCGGCCGTGGGCACACATCTGGCATGGCCACGCTGGAGAAGAATTGGTCTCTTGAATCAAAGTTCAAGACGTAGGCGTCAACAGGTACATACGGGCATGGATGCAATATGCATGTTCGCATGCAAGAACAAGGCCACAATCGCAACCATCCTGGTCGCTTCGCTGCATCGCTTCGTCATCAAGTTGGAAGGCCACGGTTTGCCTTCGATTTTCCATCCAATCATTCTCTACCAGATTTAATCCCGTAGATTAATTTTAGTAGATGATTTCCCTGGAGGACAGAGGGGTTTGCGATCTTGGCGCCCCGCCTGTGGTTGAGTGCACACGCGCTATCTCTACCGGTCGTCAATCTGCACTGCAACCAGATGTGTCGTCGTCATCAAGCCATCAGATCTATGACAATGCCAATCGCCTTACGCGGTATGTATCTACTAACCACTGCCCTACGCGGCATGTGACGTAGATTAAATTAGCATGCTCTACAAGGTATGAATAAATCACATCTCAAGAATGCATTTGTCTTGAACACCAAAGCTGGCAATTATTAGTCCGTGGCAGACTAATTTTCTTTATGGTCTATAATCGATGTTTCTGTTAATTAAGACTGAGACGTGCACTTGTCGCCCGCCGCCGGCCTTGCCACAAGCACGCACCGGTAGAGAATCGAGCTTTACTCCTGGTGGGGAACCCCCTCTAGTCCCGGTTTCCCACCCGGGAGCAAGCATCCGGGACTAAAGGGGGTCCTTTAGTCCCGGGTCAGGAACCGGGACTAAAGGAGGACATTTAGTCCCGGTGGGTAACACCAACCAGGACTAAAGGTGCCTCCTGACATGTCACGATGGCCGGCACATTTAGTCCCGGTTGGTAATACGAACCGGGACTAAAGGTTTTTTTCTTTTTTCTTTTCTTTTCATTTTTTTGTTTTTTTTTCAAAATAGGTTTTCGAAGTCGTATTGTACGCTGCTAATTATACATTTATACGCGCGTATAGTATGTTTCGGTTCAAGCACAATGAACGTATTAAATCACACAATTCAAGCATAGAAAAAAAATATATATATATGCATGCATGCATCATATATATATTTACATGCATGCATGCATATGTGTATTTTATATTATATTATTTCATGTGCATATATTATAAAAGATTGCATTACAGTTGTTGTGACATAAAAAGTTTCCTCTCATCCTCTAGCTTGGCTTCAATGGCAGTGTTGGGTCGAAGTAGAACTCGCCCTTGGAATCGATGACCTGCTCATTAAAAAATCCGGCTATAGACTCTTGAATTGCTTTGATTTGATCTTGCCGTATGACCTTTTCCTTCAACCATCGAGTCTACTGGTTTGAATTAAAGGAAAATAAATTAATATATGTACATATATATATATAAAGACATAGTAACAAAATCAGTAATAATAATTAAATGAATATATAGTGTATTTTTAACGTACTTTGAGTCTCTCTGTAGGAGTTCTTTGGGAGAGCACCTTGATAAACTTGCAAACATAGTAACCACGATAGTTGTTCCCCTGTTCTCGCCTCCTCAGACACCACTTCTACGAGAAAAGATTTGTCATCCAATCTGGTGATCCGGTGAAAGCTATATGTTTAATTAATAAAGATGATGCGATTCGGGGGACTTACTTTTAAAGGGATTACATTCAGATGGGCGCTTTGCATTTTTTTCATATGTTGCTTCTCAATAAAGGTTTTCCAAACAACATCCAATAAAAATTTGCCACGTCATCGAGATATAGTTAATCATCATGTTTGTGTGTATATATAGTTGCTAGAGATCCCAAAATTACATCTGGATAATATCTATCATATCTTGGTAGTCTTGTTGTGGTTTTCTCATCGAGTCATAGATTATCAAGTGACTTTTCACCAGATCGATGTCCATCAATATCCAGTGATTGATGCATGTGTTTATACGCATAACATTCATTAATTAACTAGAATCAACATATGAGCCATTAAGGATGATCGACATGATTAACACTCACTTGAAGTTATAGGGAAAGAGTATATCCTTCTTGTGGCGTTGGTTCACTAAGAAGTTCATGAGGTTACTCTCTGACTCATTCTTCCAATTAGTCTTTGGAATAATTGGGTCTTTGAATACTATATGGGGATCAACAAAACCAATTTCATTGCAGCCCTCCTTTCTGAGCTCTGTCATTGTAAATCTGCATATATATAGTACTTGTTAGGATAATTTATATGCATATACACACATATGATGAGTTTAATAATAGATCGAAAGAATTATTACTTACGAGCAATAGCGACTAATGATAACTTTGTCCGGAGAGGTCGGGTGGCATAGTTGATGAAATTACGCAAAGTCAACATACATAACATCATCGCCACGGAACCAATGTTCGTCTCTAATTCTAACACCAACACGAAGTCTCCACTTGGTAGACGCTTTGCATGTACCACTTGTTTAGCGGTACATTTATGTCCCTAGATCGAGATAAGGCTTGAGGGTTGTATAGACTCGCCTAGTACAAATTTTTTTCTTCCAAATATCAACCTCTTGCCGCACTCTCAATGTTTCCATCACCAAACATCTGGTAAAGGTCGAGAC